CCGCCGCGCAGGGCCGCGAGCTCCCGCCGCAGCTCCTCCACCACGGCGCGCGCCTCGCGCAGCACCGCGCCCGAGTCGCCCTGCAGGCTGCTGCTGAGGCGAACCAGGTAGGCGCGGTTGTCCTGCGGGGATGCCGAGGGCGGCGGTTTGCGCAGTCGGCCAGCATGCGAGAGCCTTGTCCAACCCTCTGCGTGTCACCTGAGCTGCGAACCCGCGCCTGCTCAACGCCAGGTGGCCGTTTGGTGGCAGAGCGCGCCGAAGCGCGAGCCTGGCCAGGGCCTACAGCCTTCCCACGCCCCCCTGACACCTGGGTGAGGAGGTCCTCCCGCTGCAGGGCCGCCACCAGGGACACCACGGGCAGCACCAGCGGCAGCACCAGCGCGTACGTGGGGCTGACAACGCCCAGCAGCGCCGCGAGCGCGCCCGCCACCGAGCCCAGGAGGGACGCCGCGTCGATGGCCGTCCAGACGTTGCGGCGGGCGCGGGTGCCGGCGTCCGGCGGCGGCTGCGGCGGTGGCTGCGAGTTCGGCGCGCACACGCGGCGGCGTTCACTCGGTTCAGCAGTGGCGCGCGGCTGCCGTTTAGGCGCGGGTGCGTGCGTCCCAGCAGAAAAGGCACGCACTGCCGGCTGGGGCACGGGGGCTCACCCCTGGGCTTGGGGCCGGTGGAGGGGGCCGCTGCGGTATGGACGGCGGCGGACGGCTGGCTGCGCGGGGCGTTGTGAGCTGACGCGGCTGCGGCTGCACGGGTGCAACGCCAGCGAGGCGGCGGCGGCACACTGCAGCGGCCAGGTTAGCGGCTGCCAAGGAAGGGACCTTCGGCGCCCGTAACGCAGACATACTACCACACTGATTTCGTTTCAGACCGCGCATTGTGCTATGCTGGTGAACGGCGGAGTTCAGATCTCAGCCAGCCTGTTGCGAGCTCCACGCTAGAAAAGACGCGAGAAGAACATCGACTCACATACACTTATGCCTCTTGATGTGATGGTCAGATCCTATGAACCTCGCCATTGGGGCCTGGCAATCAGCAGCATTTGGGGTGACGTTGGACTGGCGTGGAAACGCACCTCAGCTGCATGATTCACTTTGCTCCCCAAGGTCACCCGGTTGCACACTGTCATTGCGTATGTCATGCTGAATGTGCTGGTGCTGCAACCACTGGCCTTGGCCCCTGGAATAGTTCAGCCTCCAGGAAACACCAGATGTATGAAATACTACATCGCACCGGATCAGAGCTGTCAAGACTTGCATTGCAGCGCAAATTGAAGTCAGCAGCCAGTCTCATTCTGCATCGTCAGCAGGTTTTGAGGGCGTCTGGCCCCGTCTCAGCTTGTCAGACGCCCCGTCGACAGCAAGCGGGCTGCAACCAACCAGTCTCCTGTGCTCATGTCCATAAGTCAAATTATCTTGCTACGCACATCAATGCGCTGCAGACGTCACGGGTAAGCCGAATGATTATGGCATGCGTCTGCAGCAGTGGTGGACTGCTGCAGGCTTCCGCGTCGGTCAAGTCTGCAGTCCATGGGCTGCCACTGATGGAGGCCTAAACCATTGCGGAATGCTGCACCCATTTGCAACGGAATGGTCACTCCATGGGTACGTCTGTGGGTAGCCCAAGGTGCGCTGATGCTGTGCGCTGAGCCTTGCGGACGCGCATGCTTTGGAACAGCACCAGCGCAGTGCTGTTGGCTGAGCTCCTACACATGTGCTGCCAGAGTCAGTTGGTCATCTAGTATTGTTGAGCATGATATTTTTTACGCTCTTTGTGACAGCAGCACGGCCACAGGTCTCTACTACTGCATAAGATCCACCTCGCTCCTCGCGCTCTTCGGCGATCTGTTTATTTCCGTGCGAAGGACGTCCCGAGTCGTCTGCGAAACACCAAAGAATATGGCAGCCGACGCGTCAGAAGCAGTATCTCCGGAGCTAACGCCGGACGTCGCGGCGGCGATCAGCGACACCAGCGCAGTAGTGACCAACGCGGTGCCAGCGCTGGCGTTCTGTGTTACCTGGGGCAAGCAAAAGGCCGGTACGCCTTGATACGCGTGCCTTTGCAGCAGCAGATGTATAGCTCAGGGGCCAGACATGTGGCCCCCTACTGTACCACGGCCCATCTTGCGCGTCCACATGCACTGTGCTCTCTGCACCGCACCCCTGGCTCCACGCACACCAGACCTCAAGCGGCGAGCAGATTCCACCGTAAGCGAGCTAAAGGAGGAGGTGGCGCGCCTGTGGGGCGTGCCGGTGCCGCGCCAGAAGCTGATGTTCAGGGGCCTCGTCAAAGATGACACAGCGACCCTTGAGAAGGTGCGGAGGGGGGCTGGCGGAGCAGGGGCACCAGCAGCGGCGCGGCCGGGGCCGTGCCACGAGAGTAGGGGGGTAGGCTGCATGGTGGCACTGTCGGTCGCAGACAGCGCGCTGGCAGGCTGCCTGGCCGGAGGCGGCCTGGATGGCAAGTTGCGGGCATGGCACTCACCTGATGCTGCTCAAACTTTGAACGTTCGACCCACGCAGCTCGGGGTGAAGGATGGTGCCAAGGTGCTGCTCATAGGCAGCAGGTGAGGACTTCAAGATGGCACCGCTGCTAGGATCCTCACGGGCGTGTGCCTCGATGGTGTTGCAGTTTGCAGACCACGGCGCGCAGCAGCAGCTTTGAGCAAAGTGTAGGGCGTGGGTTCCCTGCCCTCCGTTGGTTCAGTGGGACAGCAGCGGATCGGTAGGCAGGGGGTTGCTGCTACAGTACAGTTAGCACCCTGCCCGCACACGCCGCCGCACACAAATCACAAAATTCTCTATTCCTAGGGACGAGGATGTGGCGGCGGCAGCCATGCCCACCACGGCCGCGGGGGCGCCCGCGGCATGGGATGCACCCGTGGCCAAGGAGGAGCCCATCTGCAAGCAGACGCAGCACCAAAAGGCACGCGGGCAGCACGCATGTCGTGCAGCAGATGCTGTTTGGGTGACGCTCCATCGCAACGCAGGCTGTCCCACACTGCAGCGTGCATTTTGAGGGCCTGTGCTGCAGTCCCCTCTCGCGCTTGTGCACACAGACTAAGCATTACCCTACGCTTCAGCCCTCACACCCACAGCACCCCCATCTGCAGCCGCAACCCTGTTTTTCCCACTCCGCCAATTTCATAAAGGTGCTGTCAAAGGGGCGCCCCGAGGACGGGCTGCCGGGCATTTCGGGACGCCAGGTGCCGCTGGCTGAGGGGCAGAACGTCATCCCGGGCCTCCTCAACTCCCAGGGCAGCAAGGTGGAGTGCCGGGTGGAGGGGGGGGGCAAAGGGCAAGGGACAGGGGTGTCGGGATGGAGGTCGGGGTAGCAAGGAAATCAATAATTGAATTGTTTGGAGGTAAAGACGGAAACACAGGCGAGAACAGGGCGTGAACCGCTCACGACCTGCGCGATGGCAGGGTGGCGCGCTCTGTCGACCATCCGGCCTTCCCGCCCCACCCCATGTCTTGTTATGGCCCGCCGACTTTGCGCCACCCCAGCTGTCCTGTCTCCTGTTTCAAGTCCCGGTATCAGCCTCAAGGCTGGCCGTTCTCAGGTCCTGCTGCCTCACACACATATGTAGACCCACCAGCACTCAACCCGCACCCCACACATGTTGACCCCCACAACCCTAGGTGCGCCTGACGTTCCGCCCCGACCTGAGCGAGCTCTGGATTGGCTCCGCGACCTCCACCCAGAAGGTCGCCTACGGCAGCGTGCGCAGGATCGAGGCGTGGCCCATAGACGGCGACGAGGCGTACTCGATCCTCGCGCTGCACCTGGGGGCCGGGAAGCTGTGGGTCTACTGGTTTCCCAGCCAGCTGGTCAGCACCATCAAGGTGCGCGTCATCGGCGTGGGGGCGCTGATCTTGTGACGGCTGCACCGGCGCGCGCGTGATGCTGGGCGCTGCGAGGTGCTCTGCAGCGTTTCGGGCGGGAAGCTGCAGCCCTGTTCCACAGTCAGGCGTGCTGCAATCGTTGTCGGCATGGTGGCGGGTGGCATGCGGGCGTCTCCTGCTCACCTGTCAGCATCGAGTAAGATAGTGTGCTTGCCAGCCGCACGCCGCACATGCGCTGCGGGCCCGCAACAACAACAGCAGGCGCATTTGTTGCCCGCAGTGGCAGCCTTCTCCTTTTACCTGTAGCTATCCTGTTCACATTAGCCAATCCCTTGCGAGCGTCTGTCCAAACCAGCATGGTTCTGGTATCATTCTCAACCTCCTCCACACCTGATGCATACTCGCATCTTTTGCGTGCGCTGTATGGTGCAAACATATGCACTGCAGTGGTGGCAGCTGTACATGTAAACAAACCAATTGAGCTGCGGTGGTGCAGTGCCACAAGTTGAGAATGGAAAACGCGGCGCAGTACGATCAGCTGCGCAGCGCCAGACAGCATCTCTGCTACGGCTTATCAGCTTGTAGGCGTACCCGCACTTGCACTCACCAGTTGACGTGTGGGCCTGTGACTTTACTTGCACCCCTCAACACTCAAGTTATTCTTTAGTCATAGCTTGGATGCGCAGCATTGTTGTGGTTTGCATGCAGCCAAAAAACAAGCGCGCAGTCGCATGAACGTGGTCAGTGAGTGTCTTGACCTCAATGGCAACTGGGTGGGGCTGCTGATTTTGGGTGTCTATATGTGTCCAAGGCGCATGACGTTTCCAACGGGCGGGGATATGGGCTTTGCACCATATGCATGCTTGCTTGGTGCTGCTTGGCTGCACGTCCCTTGAGAGCCAGCAGCTGGTCAGCTTCGCCTTTGGTTCCCTCTGCTGGGGCCCGTCACTTTTTGAACCCTACGCTCTACAGTGCCTTTACTGTATTCCCATACACACAGCACACTACCTTGCCCTCTTCCTGTGAAGAGGGACGACTCGGTTCAGCGGACCTTGGGCATAGCACGCAGTGTCAATGGCACTTGGCCAACTGCAAGCAGAGCGCATTACAGCGTATCAAGAAATGACTACAGGTCTCCGAATCAAATGATCCCGCCCAACCCAGCATACAGCAGCGCCTCAAAGCGTTGCGCCTGGCTCGGCGAGTCCGCTGCACGCAGCGACTACGCCATGCGCGCGCGGCGCCGCGTGGACGCCTTTGCGGTCACGCGCCTGTCCTCGTCATCATCCAGCGGCACCGCCTGAGGCGCCTCGTCCCCGTCGCCGCCGCTGCCGCCCGGCCCCGCATCGCCGGCGCGCTTGCCTGCGCCCCTCTCCGCGGCCTCTTTCTTGAGCTGCATCTTCTCCTGTATCATGCGGTGGCTGATCACCACCGTGATGATCATGAAGGCGGCCAGCACCATGTCCACCGTCAGCTCCGCTGACTGGATGGCCTGCGACACGGAGCCTGCGCAGACGGGGCGTGGGCGAGGGTCCGACGGGGCTAGGACAGGAGGACGGGAGCGCGGGTGCAGAGGCAGCAAAACGTGCATGGTGCCACGGCAGCAAAGTGGTGCGCCAGCCCTCCCACCGTGCGCCACCTCTGGTTGCAAAAAATGCACACTTCAGCCTAGGGGCATGCACCACGATCATCATCGTCATCATCATCATCATCATCATCATCAGCGGCAGCAAGGCCGCTCTCACTCTGGGAGTAGGCAGTTGTCTTTGAGAGGATGTGGCGCTCAGCGATTTTTGAGTAAAGGCGTTCCTCCATGTTGAGGCCCGTGTGGTAGCGCCATGACACCAGCACAAGCTGCGCAAATGGGATGGATGGGGGAAGAGGGCAGCTGGGCGGTGTGGTTTGTTTTCAGTCTGCGGGAGTTGCAGAATCTTCATCGGAGCTGCAAGAAGGCCAAAAGCTGGCGCGCCTGATGATGGCTGTTGTCAATGTACGACTGGTTGAGAAGGGGACACTTGCACTTGCGCACGCGCTGGACGCCTGGCCAGTCTGCTGACCGGACGCCGGCCTGAAGGCCTGGACGACGCTTGCCCTCACCATGCCGCCCACGAGGCACTGCAGGACATTGTACACCTTGAGCAGCGTCAGGCTCTCCTTCACATTACCCAGCTTGGCTGACAGCGGGTGAGGTTGGGGTTCAGGGGATGGATAGTCGGTGCACCAGGTCGGGGTGCCGGATGACACCATGGTGGTTTGGTGCAGGGCGGATGCAGGATCAAGCTCGCAGTCGAACTGCTGGAGCACACAGGCTCAATAACGCAACACGCGTCGATGTGCAGATCTCTGTGACATCAAAAACACTTGTTGACGTGTCCGAAAGCCTTAGGCTGCATCGGGGCCTCATGACCTTGAGGCACACTGCTGTGCTGTTGGCTCACCTGCAATGAAGGTGACGATGACGGCCACCTCGCCCCCAAGCAGGCCGATCATGTGAACAGGGTAAGGGTGGCCTGGAAAAGGCGATGGCCGGGTCATGTACATGTATATCATGCAGCTCGCTGAGGGCGGGTGCACAACGTAAAGGAAACCAGCGCACAATGCATCTGCAGGGCTGAGCACAGGGAAGGTGTCCTGATGCACGCGGTTGCCGCGCAAGCTGCTGCTGCTGCTCCCCTTCTGCTGCTGTCCTGGTGCAGCAGCATCCAACCCCTGCTCCCCTGCTGCTGCTGCACCAGGTGCTGCACAGCATTGCCCTGTGCCCCAAACCTCAAGGTGCTCACCCTCAAGGTGCCCGATGCTTGACCATGCGCCCCTGACGAGCATCAGCGCCACCTGCACACGGCAAACGACCGCACTCAGCCGCATCCCAGCGCCCCGCCCTCGACCAGCCACCCGCTGGCCAACGCATGCACAAAACCGCGGCCCAGCCGCACAGGCGCACGCCCCATCGCCACCACCGCGGTCGCCGCCAGGGCCGCAGAACCATGCCGCACGGCCTGCCCCGCGGCCCTCCCGTCCTCACGTGCGAGCCCAGCAGCCGCGTAATCGAGTGCTTGTAGTCCGCCATTCGCTTGTACCCTGCGCATGCGCCAGCGATGTGCGGGTCAACGGGCTGGGGTCCGGAAGCACGCAAACGGGCCCCCTGCCCCCACAGCGGACACCAGCTGCCGGTCAATGGTGAGCCCCCCGCCCCCTGGAGGCATGCCCTGCAGTCCTGCGCTGCTCACGCTCTGCGATGACCATGCGGTACGAGTGATCGGACCCATCGGTTCCTTGCTGCGCAGGTGTATTGCAAGTGGTCAGTTCAGCACCATGCTACGGAGCAAACCGCCGCTGTGCGCCAGCTTGCCATCCGTGCATTGCTGGTGCTGCTGCAACACAGGGGTGGTGCTAGGCCGTGTTTTGGTGGCTGCCCAGCTATGCTGAAGCCGTTGTGCAACGTGCCAATGCGTCCAATCAACCATGTTGCCTTACAGATGCCTCACCGGGCGGGGCGGCATCCTGATGCTGGCTGCTGCCTCGCTGCTGAAGAGTCGAGACCGCGGCTGATACGGCAACCGATCGCGGGCAGTCAGCGTGGTTCAGCACCAATGTCACAAGGTTCGTGAACTGAACCCCGGAAAGTGCAAGGAAACAGATGCCGACCGACATGAACAAGAATGACTCAAAATCTTTCTGACCACCCGGAAACCACTTGCAAGCACCGTACGGTATCTAGGTAATGAATTGGATCAGATATATTCACAAGCCACGACTTCGGACAGACTAAACCCTCTGCAGCCCAGATCACCCCGTGTCATCGACCCACTCACCGGGCCACAGAGAGCACAAACGTCAGCGCGCCCCAGCGCGTTCTCTGGCTCAAATGGCAGGACCCATCATCTCGCTGGCGCGCTTCGTGCCGGAGGCCGTCGAGGCCGTTGTCGCGTCGGGCGCTGTCCCCGGCGCACGTGGAGCCGCTGCCGCCCAATTCTCCACAGCCGGCGGCGTCGCCGCCTACAAGCTGCCGGAGCTGCCCTACGCGTACAGCGCACTCGAGCCCGTGATCAGCGGCCAGATCATGGAGCTGCACCACGCCAAGCACCATGCTACGTACGTGGCCAACCTCAACAAGGCCCTGGAGGAGTACGCTGATGCCGAGGCCAAGCGGGACTTGGGCAAGTTGATCTCACTGCAGGGGGCCATCAACTTCAACGGCGGAGGTGGGCGCGCGGCGCGCGCGTGCGGCTAGCCCAGCCGAAAAGTTTGGGCATTGACAGGCATTGCTATCAGGGATGCGGGCATGCTTGCTTGCGGTGGCGCACATGCAAGTGGTTTTATGTTTAGGAAGAAGGGAAGATGATTTGCTGTCGTACAATCGCCTCTTGTGCCCCAGCACACAGCACACTGCGCCTGTCCCGCTGACCCCTCCCCCTTGTATACCCCCGAAGGCCACATCAACCATGACATCTTCTGGACAAACCTGGCACCCGAGAAGGACGTGCGTCCTCCTACCGGCGAGCTGCTCAAGGGCATCGAGGCCAGGTGGGGCGGCCTGGACAAGTTCATCGCGGAGTTCAACGCCAAGACGGCCGCAGTGCAGGTGGGGGTTTGGGTGGGAGCAACAGGGATAAGCGCTCAGTCAGGCCCTTTTGTGCAAGTGCTTTTCTCAAAATTTTCCGTGTGCGGAGCGCCCTCTGCAGTGTGATCCACAAAGGGCATTGGTGGAAAAGCTTTCATGTTGACGCTCAAGCTTTGCATGGCACTCGACAACACAACAGGGCCGGCTCTTTTGGGCGTGCAACCCACAATGCGATGCCCCCCCCCTCTACTTGCCCCCCCTCTTCTGCAGGGCTCTGGCTGGGGCTGGCTCGGGTACAACAAAGCGACTCGAGGCCTGGAGATCGCCACACTGGCCAACCAGGACCCCCTCGCCAAGACGGTGGGTGGACTTAACACCTGGATCTCGCTCAGGGCTTGTGGTGCTGACGCAGCGAAGCTCTGCGTGTGTGTGTGTGTGGGGGGGGGGAGAGAGGCGACCTGGAGTGTGCTGCTGCACACACGCGTGAGTACAGTAGGCTTTTTTACAATACCAAGCGCTGCCTTGTGCGGACCTCCTCTTCCTCAGGGTCTGGTGCCGCTGCTGGGTGTAGACGTGTGGGAGGTGAGGCCATGCAAGCTCAGGACCCAGAGTGACGTTTTCTATGCGGTCTCACCGGCAAATGTATCGCATGCGATGGGATGTGCTTTCATTACTGCAGCCCCACCTTTCAAAACCCTCAAGGGCAAACCAGTGCATGAAACGCGTAGAGCATCAATCCGCTAGGCTTCCTTGATGCTCATCCGCACCGGCCTATTGGTTTTTCATACCCAAGTAGCATTGGTCTTTTATACTAGTTCTAGCCGCATACCCCGTCCCAGTCAACTCCACCCTATTTGACATCCTGCAATCCATGTGCGTTCTTGCTGTGTGCCTGCAGCACGCCTACTACCTGCAGTACAAGAACGTGAGGCCTGACTACCTCAAGGCCATCTGGAAGGTTGTCAACTGGGAGAATGTGGAGCAGCGGCTGGAGGCCGCCAAGAAGTGAGCCTCAAAGCCGCACATGTGACGCTCCTCGCCCTGTGTGCTCTGCGGTTGGGCTGGTGCATTGATGTGGTGTGTTGGTTGCATGGTGCTGGGAGTGAAAAGCGTGCTTATGCACTCTCATGGGGGATCTGTGTGACGAACCAGGGGCCAGCAGACTTGCTTGTCATTGATCAGTCGGTGGATTTGTAGTGTGTAATGTGATGGCATGGGATGAGAGGGGTCCACTTTTTGACCCTGGCGGCTGTGGCCTGAGCGGACTGCTGGTTGAGGGCAACCGTATGCTGCTTCAAGAGTCACATTGCCGCAAGTCAAGGCATCAATCCGAACACCAGGCTGCTGTCCTGTTGCTGCTGATCGCTGCCTGGATATCACACAGGACGACTGACGCATCGTTGGGCGGACACACACAGACGGGCGGACCCGGACTATGGTATGCTACACACCGAAAGAGACACTAAACCCATGTCCATTGCGCCTCTGAAATCTCCGCGCTTAGCAATTTTTCCTCCATTCATCAATCAGGTTGCTCACACGAAGCGCGCACGGGCCTGTCTCGAACAGTAGCCTTGCCCGACGCTAGACATCTCGGGCGCGGTTTCTCGCTGTCAATAAGAGTGTTCGGATATCCCACGTTGGCCGAAGAAACAGCTGCCGTGGGCTTGACACTTTGCACCGGGCGCCTCGAGCGCACAGCTGCGAGCCTCTACATAGATTAGAAGAACTCAAAAGTATATGGTCACGAGAAGGAGAGCCCTGCGCCTAGAGAATCTCCGTGGCCGCTGCTCCGCCGCTTTCACGCTGTGTGCGACACGAGCGTGTCATTGCTGCCGAGTAGCGCGCCCGTTGCTGCATGTGGAGGCTCATCAACTGCTTCAAGACTGCCGAGGCGGGGCCAGAGGACCATGTCGCCGGCAACCGCAGGTACCAGCATCGCCGCTGCCCCGCGTGCACAGCGAGCACGGGGGTGCGATTACTGCCCGCAGCACGGCACCCCGCTCGCTCTCGCCCCTGCTTGCCCAAGCCGCCCCGTCCCTGCACACAAACCCCCAGGCCTTCCTGTTCAGAGGGAGGCGGCCATGCAGCTCACTACCGCGCGCCAATCGTGACGCCGCCGCCGCGCGCGAGCTCCAGCTCCTCTTTGGGCGACGAATCAGGGGACGATGTCGAGGCCGGCATTTTGCTGCTGCCAAGGGTGCGCCGTTCACGCGGCGCGCGTCACCAACTTATGCTACTGTCAGCTGCATCCTCTTGATTTGTGGCTACTGCTTGGCAGTCGTACCTGCCAGGCAGCAGGACTCTCGGGCCTCGCTCTGTTCAGTTGCTCCAACGAGGGGCATGGTGCAACTCACAGCGTTTCTTCGTCCACACAAAATCACCAACGGCATTGTATGCATCGACCTGCAGAGGGGCAACGCAGAACCTGGCGCAAGCGAGGGCGACACCTCGTCCTCCACCATGGCTGACGCTTCATCTTCAGAGCTCCACAGGCTCCGGCGAACAGGTTGGGCAGCTCGTAACCCAGGTTGCTTGGTGTGTGCTGCGGACTGTGTGTGCGCGTCCGCGCGTTCTCGTGCAGTCGATTTTTCTCTCTTATATGTGCATTCGTCGGCCTCTGCGGTTTCCTGCTTGCGTTTCCCATTGCTGCACGCCTGTTTTCTGGAGTTCATCAAACGTTTGCACCGCTACGCGTGCCCTGGCCTCCCAACCGCAACGCAAACCACCTCAGGCTCAGGCCCCAGCACGGTCGCCAGCCGTGCTTGGCAGGTGTCCGATGTGGCGGCCCTGACGCGCCCCCGCAGCGCTCTCGGCCTAAGCACCACCGGCGGCGGCGGCAAGCTAGCGGGCGGCAAGTTCTGCAAGGGCGGCAGTGGCATCAACCTGGCGGCGACGGTGGATGCCGGTGGGGTGGGCACCGAGATGCTGCTGGCTGGCGGCGACCAGGATGATGACGACTGCTGCCCCACCTGTCTGGACCTCTACACCTCGGGTGTGCTGCAGAGAAGAGCGGCGGGCTTGAAATCGAAAGTGGGCTTGCACGCCCTGGAAGCCAGCCGTCAGGGCGCGCGCCACCGTTGCCAATGACACCCTTCGCATCCTAGCCTGCAGAGCCCCTTGACAGCCGCTCGCCTCTGGGATCATACACTCACAGCCATTGTCCTATGCGTGCGTGCCCCTGAACTGCAGAGAACCCGCGGATCTGGACGCGATGTGGCCACAGCTTCCACATGCAGTGCATCTACGAGTGGCTTGAGCGCAAGGAGACCTGCCCCCTGTGCGAGTCTCAGATTGACTTTGACGAACCTTGACTCTGCAGGCCTGCGCAGGGCGTGCGGCGCGCACGCAACAGCGAAGCTGTCACCACCTCACGCCTCGCGTCCTGCAGTAGCCCCCGCAGTGCTAGCACGCTGTCCTGCTGCACACGCACTTGCCAAGGGAGCGCAGCTGGTACCTGCACATGCACCTTCGCCCCTTGCCAGGCGCCGGATCATACTTGAATAATAGCTCACCCAGGTCCTGCGGTCATGCAGGCTTGCAGCAGCCAGTCAAGTTAACGCAGCGAACCGCGACAGGGTTGCTGCTGCTGTCGTACTACCAACCCATTTTTAGTCAGATTTCGTTGAACTCTTGCTTTGCAATTTTCGCCATGCTGATTTTCAACGTCGCCGCTTTTGCAACCAGACTCAGCCTGCAGCCGTCTGGCGGCTGCCGCCACGCGTCGAGCTTATATGACTAAAGCACCCTAGCGCATTGGAGAGAAGGTTCTGAGGCTTGTTACAAGTATGCATTTGCCCCGCCACGCACAAACCCACATTGGAGAAATTCGGATGGAACGTGTTTTGAGGAAAAGCTGGCGCAGGCGCCACCAGTGCGCGCTCTGGGGTTCAGGGGCGCACAGCACCATTTGCCAGGGGCCAGACGGCCGCAGCTGGGTGGCCAGCAACGCATGCGCAAGAACAAAGAAAAGGGCGCGGCCCAGCTGCAGCTGCTGCCGCCCGCACGATCAGCAATCCAAGGCCAGATCACGAGATCGCACGCAAGGCCCCCGGAATCGCATCAGCTTGCCGCGCAGGCGCGCCCCAGCGCCCGCCTGCAGCCGCATTGCTGCTGCTGCAGGCGCCGCTGTCAAATCGCCACCAGGACCCACCCAACCGCCCGCATGCCGCCGCCGCAGAACCGCTTCAGAAGCACTTGCGGTGCACGATGGAGGGCCCGCTCTCGTCGTACTCCGACTTGGAGATCCACATTTGCTGGAAGGTGGACAGGCTGGCCAGGATGGAGCCGCCGATCCAGACGCTGTACTTGCGCTCCGGGGGCGCCACCACCTTGACCTTCATGGCGGAGGGCGCCAGCGCGGTGATCTCCTTGCTCATGCGGTCGGCGATGCCCGGGAACATGGTGGTTCCGCCGCTGAGCACGATGTTGGAGTAGAGGTCCTTGCGGATGTCGACGTCGCACTTCATGATGGAGTTGAAGGTGGTGTCGTGGATGCCGTTGGCCTCCATGCCCACCATGGACGGGTTGAACAGCACCTCGGGGCAGCGGAAGCGCTCGTTGCCGATGGTGATGACCTGGCCGTCGGGAAGCTCGTAGTTCTTCTCCAGCGCGCTGCTGCTCATGGACGTGGACATCTCGCTCTCAAAGTCCAGCGCCACGTAGGCCAGCTTCTCCTTGATGTCGCGCACGATTTCGCGCTCAGCGGTGGTGGTGAAGCTGTAGCCGCGCTCTGGGGAAAGCGGGGGATGAGGTTGCCGTGAGAAGACGTATGCAGATGTGCGCGGTGGGAGACGGGGGGGGGGGGGGTCTGGTGAGGTGCACAACGCCCCACAGCTTCTCACCAACAAGATGCGATACCCATCTGATGCAACAGCTGCTGTGACTGCCTGGCCCCAAACCCTCAACGGGAAATCCCAAGCGCAGCGCACCCATCAGGATCTTCATCAGCCAGTCGGTGAGGTCGCGGCCGGCCAGGTCCAGGCGCAGGATGGCGTGGGGCAGCGCGTAGCCCTCGTAGATGGGCACAGTGTGGGTCACACCGTCACCAGAGTCCAGCACGATACCAGTGGTGCGGCCGCTGGCATACAGTGACAGCACGGCCTAAGGGGTAAACGAATTGATAAGGCGGAGGCGGAGAGGGAGCGGGACCTTGCGTCAACATGTAGGTTTACTGGTACTGACTGCAGCATCTGTGGTGTGGCGAAAACCGCAAGAGCAATGCAGCTGCTAGGGCCCCTGCCTCACCACCTGCCCGGCTGAGGGCACCGCCCACCTGGATGGCCACGTAGATGGCTGGCGCGTTGAAGGTCTCAAACATGATCTGCCGGGGG